AAAAAGCTTTTGATAAAATCCAGCATCACTTCTTGATAAAAACCCTCAAACACCTAGGTAGAGAAGGAACATACCTCAAAATAGTAAGTGACATCTACAATAAAACCACAGCTAACATATTGCTAAATGGACAGAAACTGGAAACATTTCCCCTGAAAACTGGAACAAAACAGTTTTCTCTCAACCCTCTTGTTCAACATTGTGTTGGAAGTCCTAGCTAGGGCAATCAGACAAGAGATGGAAATCAGGGGTATCCAAACAGGATAAGAGGAAGTCAAGTTATCCCTCTTTGCTGATGATATGATTCTACACCTCAAAAACCTAAAAGAATCTGTCAAAAACCTGTTTTCACTGACAAAAGGACTTTGGCAAAGTCTCAGGTACAAAATAAATGTGCAAAAGACAGTTGCATTTTAGTACACCAACAAGAAGCAAGCAGAGAACCAAATAAAAAGCACAATCCCAATCACAATAGCCACACAAAAAAATGAAATACCTCAGGATCTTCCTAACCAGAGAAGTGAAAGACCTTTACAATGAGAACTACAAAATACTGCTCAAAGAAATCCAAGAAAACACAAACAAATGGAAGAATATTCCACGCTCATGAATAGGAAGAGTCAACATTGTTAAGATGTCCATCCTACCAGAGGCAATCTACAGATTCAACACAATACCCATTAAATTACCACATCATTCTTCTCTGACCTGGAAATGACAATACAGAAATTCATATGGAAACATAAATGACCATGAATAGCCAAAACACTCCTTAGTGAAAGAAATAAAGCAGGTGGCACCATACTTCCAGACTTCAAACTTTACTATAAGGCTACAGTAATCATAACAGCCTGGTATTAGTACAAGAACAGGCATATAGACCAATGGAACAGGACAGAGATTCCAGAAGCAAAGCCTCAATTTATCAACCAACTCATCTTTGACAAAGCCTCCAACAACAACCACTGGGAAGAGGAGAACCTATTCAACAAATGGTGCTGGGAAAACTGGCTGATCACATGCAGAAGATTGAAACAGGACCACTACCTATCACCATATACAAAAATTAACTCTAAATCAATCAAAGACCTAAATGCTTAAATGTAAAATCTCAAACTATAAGAATCTTAGAAAATGCAGGAGACACCCTTATAGAAATTGGAACTGGCAACCAAATTCCTGATCAAAACCCTAAGTTAGACAAGTGGGACATCACCAAACTGATGAGCTTCTGCAAAGCAAAAGAAACCATCAAGAGAGCAGGGAGACACCCCATAGAACGGGAAAAAATATTTGGCAACTGTGTATCTGACAAAGGCCTAACATCCAGGATCTACAAGGAACTCAAATGTGCCAAAAGAAAAAAACAAACAGCCCCATTAAAAAGTAGGCAAAAGACATGAATAGACACTTCACAGGCAGCCAACAGACACATGAAAAAGTGCTCAGCCTCACCCATCATCAGAGAAATGCAAATCAAAACCACATTGAGATACCATCTAACCCCAATAAGAATGGCCATCATTAATTAATAAAACAAATAACAGATGCTGGTGAGGATGTGGAGAAAAAGGAATGCTTCTACACTGCTGGTGGGAATGTTAACTAGTGCAACCTCTTTGGGAGACAGTATGGCAATTTCTGAAAGAACTAGAAATTGACCTTCCATATGACTCAGCAATCCTCCTATTGGTAATATACCTGGAAGAACTCAAATCATTCAACAAAAAAGATACCTGCATATGCATGTTTGTTGCAGCTCTATTCACAACAGAAAAAACATGGAACCAAGCTGCCCATGGAGGTTTGACTGGATAAAAAAAATGTGATACATATACACAACGGAATATTACACAGCCATAAAGAAGTACAAACATATGGACTTTGCAGAACTTGGATGGATTTAGAGTCCATCATACTCAGTGATTTATCACAGAAACAAAGAACAGGGTACCATATGTTCTCACTCATCAGCAGACCTTGAACAATTAACATAACACTATATGAAAGGAACTGGCAGTAGTGAGAAACTGTCAGGGGAGGAGGGTGGGATTGGCAGTTGAAGGAAACTGCTAGGGGAGGAAAGGTACATCTCATCAATAAGGGTACCTGCATAATGAGCATTTGTATACCTACCCCTAAACTGTACCCCACATCTTTAAAACAAAGGGAAAAAAAAAAGAGAATTAGTTTCTCATATAAGCTTATGTTAGAAAGTAGTAAGTAACAGCTTCTTATGTAAGCTAAAGACAGACTTACACAAACTAACAATTTTAATAAAGGTTTGGCTAATATATGCATTATAGATAGAAATATGAAGCTATGGAAAATGAAACAATATTTCAAGAATTATAAGACACCTGGTTTGACAAGGCTAACAGTAATTCCCCATCAGTAGTGACCATGTAGTGGTAGGATGGTAAGGACAAGGATTCTGGAATCTGAGATAACAGATTTGAATTGGGCCCTGGCCAGAAGGAAGGACATGGTGGCCAAGAGACTTGGGTCAGTTTGAAGGGAGCTTTTGCTAACACATACCCTCACATGAAAGTCTTAAATAATGAGTGGTTGGTTAGTGGTTGCTCAGCTTGCCTGAATAATAGAGAAAAGTTTGGTTCCCAAAAGAAATCAGTTTTATAAATGTTTATTAATTCAAACTTATCTGTTGAGAGAAAACTATGCATACTACTGTGCTAAGTATGAATACAGTCAGTCATGAGTCTAGCATTCTTGGGTGGCTTATAGTTAAAAAGTGTCCAGGCCGGGCTCGGCAGCTCAGTCTATATTCCCAGCACTTTGGGAGACAAGAGGCCAGTGGACTGCCTGAGTCCAAAGGTTTGAGACCAGACCGGGCAACTTGGTGAGACATCGTCTCTACAATAAATCAAAAATTAGCTGAGCGTTGTTGTGTGTGCCTGTTGTTTTGACTACTTGGAAGGCTGAGGGAAGGATCACTGGAGCCCAGCAGTTCGACGCTGGGGTGGCCATGAGTGTGCTACTGCACTCCAGCCTGGGTGACAGAGTGAGACTCCAACTCAAAAAAAAAAAAAAAAAAAGTGTCCACATAGAAAACTTAAATGACCAGTTCAATGCTTAATAAAAATAAATTATGTATTTGTATATACCTCATCTATACATTCTCAGAATTTCTGATAGCTGTTATTATAAATCTTCAAGGACTAAATGTTTAATTTTAATGCCCACTAACAGGAATCTCCTACTCAATGTGCCTAATCTTGATCTAAATACCACCTACTCGTCCTGGTTTCTCTGCCTCTGAAATAATTACTGGACTGCAATGACTTCTTCAGTAACTTACCCTTTAGCCAAATTTAAGAGCAGCCAATAGTTTTCTTTCACATTTGCACTGCTCATATTATAGAATTATTTCTTTGGAATAGTATGAATACTTACACTGTTTCTGTAGACTTGGAATTCTAGTGTTCTTAAATCTATCTTTGCCACCTTACTCAAGTTAAACCTAAAATAAAAAATGTGTACATATTTATTAATAAGCAGCATCATAATCAAAGAAGTTATGGAATAATTATCAGGTTTGTGCTTTATTTTAAAATTATCTCTTGGTAAATTTTAAAATCAGTATTATTGCTGATTAATAGACTTCAAAAAATTAAAGGTCACAACTTATAATTAATATTTCGTTCACTTCAGACTAAAATATTCGAAAGGTTTCACCTGTTTTCTCTTTACAAATTTTTTAGAAGTGAGTTCCATATTACTCTTTCTTGCCTTAAATTGAAAATTGTTCAATCTCTCTCCCCACAACCTTCACTCAACTTTACTTACAGATCCAAAATTTCTCTAAGTCCAATCTATTACTATTTGAGCTAAAATAAACTTTTAAATGTGTAAAATACTAATTCAATATTACATAGAAACATTTTGATTATCTAAAGCAATGCTTACCTTGATACTAACTTATCTACAAAGACTGAAGGGTTGGAATATAAAGCCAGAGGAATAAACTGAATATAGACAGGAACATCTGCAGGATTTTCTAAAGTAATCTCTTCTTCCTTAAACAAAGTAATGAAACATTAAATGAAAGATTTCTATAGTCAAAACTAAGAGTAAATACTTTATAACACTAATATGTATTTGCAGAAAGCAATGTCTCTTTGAATACTTACTGAAGAACAATTTGTATTCGTAAGCGGAAATTTCAAGTGCCGGGGTGAGCTAAGTATGGAAGGCCAGGAGAGCTCGGCAGTGATTTTTGACATTATACTTTTTTGAAGATCTGTATTTACTTCAAATACAGCACTCAATCTAGAAAAACAATTTGTAAGTCAATATATCAAAACAAAATATTTGAGTTTTCTGAATATAAAAAACTCAATTAGGCTTATGCACTTAAGATATTTTATTCTGGCCCTGAAAAAACACATTTATTCATTTTAATATTTTGCTATGCTTTTAATGCTATATGATGTCTCTATTTTGGCACAAAGAGCTGCCAAAATATCAATCACTGATCCCTCTATTATTTTTTTACTGATTGTGGAAAGGATGACATAACTAAGGAATAGCAGCAATAGCATTAAGGCAATCCTATGTAAGTTTTGAAAAATCTTTTAAAGTATAAATTCAGTAAGATGAGCGGGACTATATTAGATAACATACTAGAAAAGACAGGCATATACAGTTAACAGATGGCATTATGGGGATCCTCAAGGATCTTACACACCTAGGGGAATGATATAGACACCAACAGCAGGGTGCTAAAAATGTTTTCAGTAGAACTAATGACAAGGTAGTGCACTCCTTGGCATATGGCTTTTTGCCCCCTTGACATAAAAACAAAACCAAATCCTCACACTGAATTAAGACGTCAGCTGAAGAGGTAAAGCATATGAGAGTTTTATGCAGATTGTGTAGATATATGTAAAATTTTCAGATATATTCAGGGCTTCATTTAAATATTTCCCTATTTATCAGTGTTTATAATCCAGTTGTTTAGAACTCAGAACACATTCCCCGAGGAAACAATCATATAAATAGTATAAGATCCCTAGGACTCAACACTGAAACCTATTTTAGCCCCAAACAGTACTGGTGCAGTGTTATGATACTCTAATATTGGTAACAGTACAAGTTTGTAAGACTAGTAGCAGAAATTATTTGTAGCATGCACATCAACAAGGTAACAAAGGCAGAAGCAGGGAGAACAACACATCCATTTGCACCCAGGACATGGGGGCAAAGGGCAGACAGAGAGCCCAGGTCTCAACATTGGGGTGCTGGGTACACAGAGGAAGGTAGGCATTTTGTTGGTAGAAGATGAAGAGATTCCTTGTCAGCTGAGCCTAGGGCAACACTATACATTATTTATTCATAATAGGACATTAAAGTTTAGAGTTTGCCTGGCCTTTATAATATCTGCTGTAGAAATATAGGGGTATGAGCCTGGCTCGGTGGTTCAGCCTGTAATTCCATGCTTTGGGAGGCTGAGGTGAGTGGATTGCCTGAGACTGAGGGTTCGAGACCCGCCTGGGCAACTTGGCGAGACCTCATCTCTACAATAAATCAAAAATTAGCCAGGTGTGGTAGCGCATGCCTGTAGTTCCAGCTACTTGGAAGGCTGAGGTGGAAGGATCTCTGGAGCCCAGCAGGTCGAGGCTGCGATGGCCGGGAGCGGCCACTGCACTCCAATCTGGGCGATAGAGTGAGACTTCAACTCAAAAAAAAAAAAAAAAAAAAAAAGGAAATATAGGGTATGTAGGAGAGTTTTCATTAGTATCTTTTGGCAAGTTCATTAGGAGAAGCCTCTTTTGTACTCATTTTAACCATTTGTGGTAAAAATTTAACTTTCTTTTTCCTTAAGAAAACTTTTTATGGCAGATAGTTCAGATTCACATGTTAATGGTTTGGAAATTTACAGTACTCCTAAACTGGAGTATCCTGATACTGATAAATATACTTCAAATCATCCAACTGAGAAAAGCAGTTTAATCAGTTGTCATACTACCATTATTCTAGTCAAATTCTTTTCTGAAATACATGAAAAGGTCAGATTTCTACATTACCAAATAAACACATTTTTGCTTTTGAATCCAGATGCAGTACTGATGTGCCATTAGTAGCACATTTCCTACCTGTCAAAGACACATTGTCTGAGCCGGGCTCCGGGTGCCCTCTAACAGCTCAGAGAGAGGAAGTAGTTCTTTTCGCAATGAGCAGATAGACACTTGGTCTCCTACTGAGTATATCTAGGTGGCAGTAAACCTAGAAAATGTTTTCCTTGCCTTTAACAGAGGTCAGTGGTAGGTAATAACTTTCTTTCTTATGCAAATAGATGAGTCTAAGGTGAACACTGCAGTCATTCTACATAAAGACAACTTCAAATATTTTCTTGGATTTTAAGGAAGTATCTAAAGCACTGGAGAAAAAAGAAAAATGAGTGTGTATATTTCTAAGCAACATACAGTTACAATGGAAATGTAACATGCCTCACTAATAGCTTTCTGAAGAGTAGGTATATTTTCTTAGCTATAAAGTAAAGCGACCTGATATAAGAATAACATTCAGAAAGTAGGATCAAGTGAGATGTTTCAAAACTTGTGAGGATGGCTAACATATCTGAATAAAGTCAAAACACTCACTTATGACCCGAATTTTCCTTTATTCCCATCCATCCTTTGAACAGGCTTTGATGCAACTCCCAGTCAGCATCCCATATATCTTCCTGCATGGCTACACCAGGCTGCACTTTGGGTTCAGCTAAAAGCAAGGAAACATATGTTATAACACACTCAGCCCTTCATCTAGACCCAATTGTCAGTTCTCCTTCAAATGATGTCTATAGTATCATGAGACACGAATGGACTTTAAAAGTGGCAGCCTTTTACTAAAATAATCTTTTCGGGGGAGTGAAGGCATGAGAAAGAACAGCAAGATAACTTACATTTGGATAGAAAAGGCAAGCCAACATAGCAATGATCCCCACACTGCAGTCCAGGATCAAAATAAATATTTGCAATCTATAAAGAGGCATAGGAGAACCATGAATCCCAAATCCACAGAAATTACAATAACAAAATATTAACCTATGGGATACTCAAATAAAACATTTTCAGACCTTTGATTTTTTTCCTGGCTCCAGGTCTTCCTTATTACCTCGTAATCTTTTATAATAAAATCGCACATCTTCTGACAAAGATCGTATTTGTTGTATCTTTACCTTCTGTGAGAAGGAATTCATAATATTTAAACTTTGATGAACTATTTTCCCCTGAAAGAACAAAACAAAAAACCCAAAACTCATTTGTATATGGTCAAATTTTCAGATCACATACTTTAGAGCTGACAAACATAGTTCTAGGAAACAAAAGGCTAAAAGGCATTTGAGAATATTCATCAGTTAATAATCTCTAAATTTGTAATCAAAAGTCAAAAATTTTCACAAAATATGAAACATTTTTTGCTGTATGGCATATTACAGAAAATCAGGAGGACAAATCTTTGAAATTTTATGAAAATTAATTGAAGTTAAAATGTTCATAGTTTCATGTTAAAATATTGAGGATGTCAACAAAGGTACAAAGAGAGGTAACTTTAAATAAAGGGAATGGTCACTTTCAGTTTGTTAAGTAAGGTGTGTACAAACCAAAGCAAGAATGCCCTGAAATAAATGAATTCTAAAATCCCAAACCAAACAGAACAAAATCACATTTTTTTCCTTCAATGAAAGTCTTTTCACCAAGAAAAATAAATCATTTGTGCCATCAAAGAAAAATTAGACATTTAAAAAATTATAGGGTATCAAGTATCTTATTAAAACAGCACACAGATTGAACTGTTATACAACCAATGACTGCACTTACCAGCTGCAAACTTCTCCCTATGACAGGCTACCAAATTTTAAATAAAAACTAAGTGACTTAAATAATCCGCAGTAAGAATCACATTACAAGAATCTTTTACTTTCTGTTGGTTGAATATAGAATTCTGTCTTTTTGTACAACTAATTCCTACTCATTTGAAGAGGTCTCAGATAAATAAATCCACTTTTTAATATTCAATATTAAAAGATACAGAAGTTAAGAGAATATACAAGAAAAAGAGCCAAATGACTGTGGTGCTGAGCCCAATATGCCTCATTGACAGCCTGGTGAAAATAAAACACTAGACAGGCACTGCAGGGCAGGTGCGCTGATGTGCTGGAGAGAATGGCAGCAGTGCTGACAGCAGAGTCTTCTGGCAGTCAGCTGGACCTCTTGTACCTGTAATAACAGTTTTCCTTGTGCCTGCTCTCTCTGGGGTGTGGCAGAGATCAAAAGAGTTAACGGATTAAAAAACTCCCTTTCACAATTCTATTCAAATATTAAATATAAAACTACGAGTTATATGAAATGTTTATTCTGGGGTATTGATTCCATCAGTCTGCTCTAGTATTCTCTGTCTGATAAAGATTGTATAGAATTTGATAATATAGAGTTAATTTATAACTCCAAGCTAATACCTGGTCCTACAAGCCATCTAAAGATATATGAAAGCTTAATCTGAAGCTGTTCGAAACCAACACTGCTGTAGTCTGGTTTGTTTGTCCCCTCCAAATCTCATGTTTCCTTTGTGGCTGGTCTCTCTGGAGTGTTGGGGGGAATCAAAAGAGCCAAAAGATACAAAAATTCCTTTCACAATTCTATTCAGACATTAAATATAAAATGAGTTATGTAAAATGTTTATTCTGGGGTACTGTTTCCATCAGTCAGCTCTGGTATCGTGTGCTTGACTATCCTACAGAGGTCATACAAGTTGAAGCAAATATGAGGAGGGCAGAAAGAGGATCAGAAATATGGATTCGAATGCTAGCTGGGAGAACAAGGAGAAAAGAAATGGGAAAACTAGGAGAAGGCACCGTCTTTTGTAGGAAGATGGTACAGTCCATTAGGGAATACTGGGGTAAATGTAGAAGGGTCTCTTATTCTATGATGGGAAGACACTCTCCTCGTTTTCCCATTTCTTTTCTCCTCGTTCTCCAAGCTCATACTCCAAGTCATATCTCTGACCCTCTATCTACCCTCTTTCCCATATTTGCTTCAATTTGTATGACCTCTTAAGGATAGTTCAAATGATTCATCTGGAATGTCTCTTATCTATGTTCTCTGTCCATCACTTGTTCCTTCTTCCACCTATTATCTACTAAATGCCTGTTACTGGGAATAAAAGATCCCTCATCACTTTCTTAGAGGATCTCAGAGTCTCACTGGGGAGGCCAACTTACAAGAAAATATTTATAGCACAGTATGAGGCTTGCATAAGAGAGATAATTTCAAAGTGTTCTAGGATCACACTAACAACTAATATTGTCTAGAGGAGTCAATAAATCTTCAAAGGAGATGACAATGGAATTGAATCTTGAAAGATATGTAGGAGTTCTTTGAAGGGAGGAGCAGAGGAAGGTCATTCAAGGCAGAGAAACTACAAAGGCTTGGAGGTAGAAAGGACTTTATTGCTTCTGCAACAGCCCTGAGCTCAAACTTCCCCCTGTCACTTTTCATGTGGCCAGTCTTTGGACTGCCTTTAGGCACTCTATTGTTACTTTCATATGTGTCCTATATTTCCTTCTGCCAGAGAGCCAGTCTTTCAAGTTCAACCTGATGATGTCAAGATCCTGCTCAAAAAACTTTAGATACCCATAGATCTCAATTTGTTTAATATTTTTCATGCTATCACTCCAATAAACCATTCTCTCTTTCCTCTTAAAGCTTCCCTCCATTCCTGCCAAACTGGTCAACTTACTGCTTCCTGAATCCACCTCAGACTTCACTGCCTCTACATGCTTGATTACACGTCTTTGCCACCCTTACCTATCTCTGCCAAAAGCAATTCTAAGCTGGCTCACACAGTACCTCTATCAATGAGATGTGCATTTCCCTCACAGCACCTTTTACCCCTCTTAGGGAAACTTCTACATTCTCCTTAACATATATATGAATTGTGGGTCTATTTCTCTTTCCAGGTAGAAAACCTTTTGAGGGAAGGGGTGATATCTCTTTACATTTTCTAAAGAACCTGGTATAATGTCTGACTTTATAAGAAATGATTAATAAATAATAATTGACTTTACAGTTAATTTCTAGGAACACAGAGCAAAGGAAACTCAAAAAAAAGAGCAAGAAAAAAAATCTATAAGTTAATTGTCTTACTGGAAAGGAAGGTGGAAGAACCATATGCTTAGGAAAGCAGGTCAATGAACCCACGGCGATCACAGCCTTCACAGGAATTGTTAGGATCTAGGAAGAAGCAGACCATAATAAAGCAAGTGTTTAAGTCTTAGACTGATTTCTACAATTGTTGCAATACATTTTGGGGTTAACCTCATTTTGGGACTTATATTGACAATAACTAACTCAAACAATACTAAAATCACTCATGGATACTGTTTAATCTGTCCACTGGACTTCATGAAATACAGTAAATTTCCATGTACTTTTCAGTAACTCACTGAAAACGTGATAAACAAGACTAACAACAGGGAAGAAATGAAGACAGATTTTTCAAAATACAAGTATTTTGTAGATTATCATTTTTTGAAAAGAAAGTCAAATTTTACTCCTAAAACAATGTATGAAAAACTCAGCATTTTCCAGTTATACAGCTATTTTTTGTATAGAAATAGGATATCAACCTCATTTTAAAACATTCATTGAACATCCTAGAGGTAGAATTCCAATTCATATTCTGTTAGTAACTCACAAAGATACTTTTCTAGGATATTTTCTCTTAATTCCATATTAACAAAAATTATCTTAGTTCTGAAATGTGCCTGTTTCTGCCATGAATTTCTGCTATAAATTCCTCACTTAAAGAGGTAGTTAATTTGACATACTTCTAACAAATCATTTATCATTAAATGGTCAATTTTATTTATTTTACAATTAGATTTTGTTCACGGGGGGTTTGTGTGTGTTGAAAACACATAGGAGGGTGATGGTGGCAACTTGGTATTAGCAGTGCTCAACTTCTCAAAGAATGTTTAAAAATACTTAGGTTTAGCAAAAATATATTCACTCAAAATCTTGTTGAATGTAACAGAAACCACAAAGAATCTTTTAAAAGCTTAATGCCCTTCTTTTTGTCCCTTAACTTTGAATGTTGCATGCAAATACAAACATGAACACTAAAATTAAGACAGGATTTCTTGACTGTATCCTCCTTTGTGGAAATGTTACAGAGTAGGATATTTATGATTGCAGGAAGAATCAGAGATATGTAACTCAGAAATTCAGTTAGGCTCTGTGCAATGATATAACTATCCGTATGCAGGTTTCTAACAGAGCCATTCTAAATGTGCCAAAGGCATGTTTCTGAAGTTGCTTTTAAGGTCTTTGGGTTTTATCAGAAAACTATAAGCTAATAAGCAACAATCTTTTAAACACTATTCTCAAAAACTCAGGTTTTAAGGTATGAAATTGGTGAGCTGTAACTTTAAGAGTGAACTTAATTCTGTTTGAATTATTCAGAAAAACCCCATTGACGTGAATCCCTATAAAGTCCTTACCTCATAGTCTGTTGTGATCTGTATGGCTCCATCATGAATCCCTTCTAGTTTTTTTGCAGTAAGTTTAACTCTGAACACTGCAAAATAGCCTGAAGCTAATATTACCTGTATAATAGAAATGGTATCATTCATTAGTCTGGCTAGTTGAAGTTTCCTATTAAGATGGAAATGAAGGCTAGAGTGATAAAATGACTTCCAAATCCTAAAATATACCAGAATGACACTGAATTACATCATCATGTACAAATATCTCAAAATAATATCCATCCCTTGATGTTTATCCACTACACTTATTCTGTGGGCCACTGAGAAAGCTGGGGGGTGGGTAAGGTCCTCTTGCCAGTAGAGCGCCTTACTCTCCACTCATGGATCTGTATGGCGAATGGCTACAGGGAGTGAGGGCTGAAGAGGACAGATAGCCTTTCCCCAACACTTCAGTCACAGGGGCCAGGAGTGCGTACACAGATGGTTCGATTGTAAGTTCTGAATGTAAGTCTGTAATGTTAATTTATGTCTTCAGAGCAGCTGAGACTGGTTATATCAAAACACCAAACCTACAGCATTCCATGAAAGCATCTTTGCCAACAATTTGTGTGAATAGGGACTTTTGTAAAATTCCCCAAAGAGTTCTATCCTAACCTGCAGATGAGATGCGATGCTCCTTTTCACAGAAGGTAATTCTACTAATTCTTTTCTCAGTAGGTATAAACTCCAAGTTTTCTTTTTGGTAGTAGTGAAAACTGAGGGTAATATATTTGTTTTCACTTGTTTAGTGCTCTCCACGACCAACCATACATGTTTATAAGACAGAATAAAAGTATCTGGGCAGATTCACACAGAGATCAAACAGTGTTTGCCTCATTGATATTCTCTTCTAATTAGTATAGAAAACAGGCCAGAAATATTATTGTATAATAAAAAACACTTTCTACCAATATTCAGGGATATCTTACCCAGTAGATTCAGTGAATACAGGATTAGTTCTGTAGCCATGAAAATTTCTATTGTAATGACACTTGTGTTACAAAAAGATAAATTAAATTGAAGGGGGTGAAGCAGATTACCCGCAAGGTCCTTTTAATAGCAAATAGCCAATGCTATTATGAATCACATAAAAATATTAGTTGAGATATGCAACACAGTAATGGTCTCTTATTTGCAGTTTAGACATCCATTTTAGTTTAAGGAAATAATGAGAAAGTTTACTTACTGATGATTGGTCTGATAAAGAGGATTTTTCGAACTCTGGAAGGCTTGAAATCATTGTAGTTCTATTACCTTTTTCCATAGCTACAAGTTCTATTGATAAACCATCTCCTATGATATGCCAACTTTTTACAGCCAACTTAAAAAAGAGAAAAATATTAAAGCGATTATCACAATGTAAGCATAAAATCCTTAAATATGATATTGAAAACAGTTTTTTTTTTTTTACCTCAATTGGATTGCTGTTTATAATTGCAAATAAAATATTACTCGCTTCTGTAGCACTCAGAACTCCAAAATCTATGAAACGTTCTTCTATTTTGGGGGGCAGCACAAAGTACTGGAAAGTTAAAAAAGAGGTGGATTAAACATAAACTCATATTTAAGTAATAAAAAATTACCAAGGGAAAAGAAATGTATTAAGATATATTAAAGTATCTATACTTTACACACACACACACACACACACACATACAATATAGTTGAGAACTTTGTATTATGAAAATCTTTAGAGTAATCAGAAATGAAAATAGTTATGCATTCTACTGAGCAGGTATCTCCCCTCTGAAGGCACACGAAAGCAGGAAACTAAAGTTAGGTGAAGCTCCAGGAGATTGGGCAAAAAGTATGTGGTCCCAGTAAGCATCATGAATGATCATTTTAAAACATAAGTGAAGAAGGAGTGAGACAAGACTAAAGGTTCCTCCAGTTCTAAAATTTTAAGCGATGCTTTTTTAGGAGACTACATTTCTGTATGATCTACCTTTCTTTTTATGATTCCTAACCATTTCAGTTCTTATCTAAGTTGCTTTCATTGATCACTCTCAGGACCGCTTCGTTTGGATCTCTTCGCCTTGCTTACTTTCTGGACTTGGAAGATCTTCACTCTTCCTTTGTCATATTTAGATTACTCTTCCAATTGTGTGTCATTACTATCTTTTTTTCCTCTTCACTATCTGGTTCTTTTCTTCATCCTGAAATTTCCTGGTTTTGGTCTGCTCTTCCCTACATAAGTCCCTCTCCTTGTACTATTTTTTTCGATTATTTTTTCCTCCATTTAGTTTTTTAAAAAAATTCCTCATCATTACAACAGTTTAAAAGTAAAACCAAGATACAGCAGAATGTAGAAAAGATCTAAGTAGAGAGTATACCTGGATGAGTCAACTGTATCACACGAGACAGCTGCTGGGAAGGGTGAAAACAAGTTATCTTGAAAGTACTGACTAGGAGAATTAGATCAATTTGTAGGGCACAGATAATGGCAAAACATAAGAGTGTGCAACCCAACTGCCTAATGATATCTGAAAACACAAAAGGTATGGTTGGGAGTTTAAATTTTAAAGGTAGATAGTATACTTACATCTAAAAAGCCTGTATATACTCGCACAGGTAAATGAAATTTAGAAGCATTGGTAATGAGTAAAATGTTGTTATCTATGTGTATGGATGATGTGGAAGGCATAAAAAACAGGGTAAAAATGTACCCTGATTCATTAGGAAGAATTAAGACTGGTTTGCTGAAGTTGTGGACCTAGGGAATGATGGGAGAGAAAAAAACAATATGTCAGTATCACCTAGCTGGTAGACCAATAAAATAAAAAGTATGAAGGTTCCCAGACATACTTTAAACATTGTTTTGGCTTCTTCTGGTAGCAGCACATCGTGAATGAGGGTCGCAAAACTGAAAGTGTTAGTAAGGTAAATTGGCCTTTCCACAGGATCAGCAGGACTGTCTCGGATGTGAAATAATGTTGCAGCGTGATCAAATCCCAAATAACTATTAAGAAAATAAAACCAAAACAACAAAATAAATCATCTTTAATTCCATGTGTTAGTTTAAAATCCAAGTTCTGTTGTTGTTGAGCAATAATTTACTTTTAGCATTAAGAACTGTATTAAAGAATTAGAGCTATAATAATTTAGTGATTGACCACATAATATAGCTTGAAACAAAATATAGCTTGCCAAATGTTGACACTTAAAGAACCATTCTCTAATAAATTGTATGTAATCAAATAATTACAGTCAAGACTGTATTAATGAGCTTTGTTAAAATGAATCTACCAAGTTGAGTAATAAACTATTATTGGTTAAAGAATAATTAGAAAGTGAACTGTATGCTATTTCCCATTTAGAAAAATAATTCTTCTGTGTTTATAAATTTATTAAAAAAAAGAATTTTGTTTTAAGAGACAAAATACTTTAATATAAACCATAATCACTTACATGTTACAAATGCAATGATAGAAAGGAAATGATTAAAAAATCATATTCTTCATTTAAGTTGACTGTACCATCCCACTTAGCTCTTTCTTCTAGGAAAGTAAAATATAAACAATATATAGGAGGTGTTCTCCTTTATAGTTGATGTAGTTCTTTTCAACAATAATTCCATCAGGTTTATGTAAACTTGGCTAGTATTTTTTCTAAGGTCATTTAGTGGGAAAATAATTTACTGATTAGAAAAAAGTTATAAAACTTATTTTGAAAAGAAACTCACCCATCTAAAACTTCTGCTTGATATGGTATTTCAAGTTTAGAATAAGTCTTTTCCTTTGCTTTAACAGTTATTTTCCCAGAAAACTGAGACGGCTTTTTTGCCTTTGATGCTGAAAGGAAGCATAAAACATAATCTCTGTCACCTTTTATTATCAAAGAGTATATGACTTTATTTGAACCGACAAAGTCTTAAAAAGTTGAGTTTTCAAACTGGTAAACAGAACCCTTTGTATAAAAATTTAAATCAAATACCACATCTGTCATAGAAAAAGGGGGAAATGTTTTATTTTTCCTATAATAAGAAAAGGAGATAAAGAATTATCAAGTGACTACAATTCAGGAAGAAAAACACCGTATCTAATTTACTTTTCTACAGCTGAGTTTTTCAACCTTGGCACCGCTTAACATTACAGGCCAGATTAATTCCCTGCAGCGGTGGCTGTCCTGTGCATTGCAGGATGCTTAACAGCATCCTGGGTCCCTACTTGCTAGATGCTAGTAGCATCCCTGCAGCTGGGACTACCAAAAATGTATCCAGATATTGCCAAATGTTGCCTTAGGAGGCAAAATTGCTTTTATTGAGAACTACTGGCTTGCAGCAGTACTGAGAAAGAAATTACATTCCCTGTATGGCCAGAGTCTAACTACAAATAACAATAAAGTTGCAGGGTATAAGAAGAATCAAGAGTTAAGGGCTCTGACTTCTCACGTTAACCAGACCTCATGGTAAAAAAGGAGACAAATCCCCTCCCACCATCATATTCAATTGTCCTCACAGATGAAGTAAAACCTTGAGATTTTGTAGCAGTTTTGAATAATTCTATCTGGGATTACAGAAATCGATTCAGTCTAATCTGGGTATCCATTAGATGATCCTTTCAAAGCAAATAAAGAAGCTGTTTATCTTTATGTCCTTTGAAGTACTTCAGGAACATTTCCACTTATGAGAATACATATGTGAACTCTAAAAATATGTGTCATCCAACTTCAGAACAAAAAACAGAAGAAATGGTATGATATCTAGGATATAACTATGTGCAGACAGTGACTTTAGAGTTCCAAAATTCCCATTAAGCCTTTACTTCTTTGCTTGCTAGTTAACCATTTCTGGATGCTTTCAGTTCTTCACTATTTGCTCTGATGTAAGGCTGATTGATTATAAAGTCTTTAATTTAGGTATTTCATGGTATCACATCAAGTTACATTTCAGCAAATGAAATAGTCAACAATGTCAAGAAAATTCAATTAAAAATCATAAAGAAGCCGGGCTCGGTGGCTCAGCCTGTAATCCCGTGCCTTTGGGAAGCTGAGGTGAGTGGATTGCCTGAGCCTGCGGGTTCGAGACCCGCCTGGGCAGCGAGACCTCATCTCTACAATAAATCAAAAAATCAGCCGGG